AAATAGATTGATCATCAATGATCAAACTTTTTTTTACCTTGATGTGATTATGGCTATGTATTATTTGATTTTTAACAATTGTCATGTTAAGAGTAAATAAATAAATAAAGATTATGCTTTTAGATTTGTAGCAAGTTACCAAATTAAAGTTATTTTTGAGACAATAGAACATTTGTAATAAAATAAGTATAAAAAAATGCAATTATACAAAACTAATTTGTACACTATCTACATAACCTTATTACTGAAATTCAACTCTAAACTCTCAATTTATTTGAAAGCTATTAAGTTGTAATGCATTTATATGAGAAATTGAGATATCTTGATCAATCTTCCAAGTTGGAATATTATAATAGAAAGACAAAATATTTTTTCAAGAAAGTAACATTGAATTTTGTACTTTTCATTTTTGTTCATACATTAGATTAGAGGTTTATATAGTGCTATTTGATCTAATTTGACATATTTTTACACTAACAACATCTTTTCATGATTGGTTTTTAAAATAGAGCAATATAATGATCTTTTATAATATGATTTAAGTATAATTATATTATTTTATCTAATCAAATATATTATTAAAACAAAATCAAGATATAGTCATCACTACATACTATTATCGTCACAATGATAGCATCTTAAAGTCCATAACCAAATGTGTCAAATTATGTAATTATTTAGAAAAAAATACAAAGAAACCTAACTAACTTACTTGATTTTCTCTTCGTTTCAATCATCTTTAATTAGTTAAAACTAAAGTTAAGGTTATTCTAAATATTGATATAGATAATTTAGTGTGCACAAGCCATATCTATCACGTCAACGATTCGTACACTTGGTAGGTGAAGACTATGTGTGTTAGTTCAGAGTGCCATGTCCGCGATCCGTGTGTTTGTTAAGGTTATCCTCTACATCATCCATCCCTAAGAATGAGATGGATAAGGAAGATGAGATCTTATCTCCATGTACTTGTTGGTGAGAGATGTATAAGAAAGAGAAAAATCATTGTTGATATCTCATATCTTCAAAGTTTATGTTTCTATCTGCAAGTGAATTTATCTCTAAATCCTAGTGTTACAATGGTATAAGAGCAACGTTATTTTTTCCTTGAGTGTGGATTAGCTCTCATGGAATAGCAAGTGAGTGATTATAAACTGCAATTTTGAGAGTGCATAGAGACTAACAAATGTCATTGATCTACATGTAGAGAGAGGGAAAAAGGGAGAAATTGTGGTTTTGCAGACATGGACGAGCTTGACAGGTTTCGAGTACCGCATTAGCCGATTCATAATTTATTTGATATTCATGTTTGTTAAATGGAAAAACATCATTTTATGGATGTACCTTGTGACTTGTTAGGGTGCAGATTTTTTGACTAGAGTGATGAAGTCGAAAGTGCAGATGATTCTTCCAATATTTGACCCAGTCCAGATTTTACAGATCTGGTGAGGGTGAAAAGATTATGAATAGATTTGGAATTGTACCATATACATTTTATATTGAATGTTTATGGATTTGAATATTCGCCCTAGTTCGATTTAACACTTGTGTAATAATTAGAACACTATATCGAGAGAATAGATTGTGGATAGATTTTCTTGTGAGAAATTATGGAAAACAATATTATAAAGTTGTGATAGAATCACCTATTCCTTTTGTGACTAGTTTCTTGAAAGATCAAATAGTGATTAAACTCACTTTGTATTAGAGTATTTCGGAATAACAAATTTTGGAAGCTTATGATGTCACACACGGTGAATCAGTTTGCAATTTTTGAGATATATTTGACCCAGCATCGATGAACTTGAAAAACCTTTGACATAGAGAAGGTTTTGCATCAACAAGAGAACCACCGCCAAGATTTAAATATGAGATTTGACGAGTAGAAGTTCCAAATTTGCAAGAAAGTTATGCAAATAATGGAATGATTCGAGGTGGAGCAGCAACAGTTCGTGATAATCGTCAATGCTATGCATGTGGACGAATGGATCACATTGCCAAGTTTTGCCAAAACTGACCAGTACCCCAAGGAGTGCGATCCATTCAGCGACGACTGTTCAATAATATGGACGAAATAGAATACGAAGATATTGATGAACAAGTTTCGGGGAATGAAGATCATCAGTAAACTTGCCTCGTGGCTTTACTAGTTCTACAAAGCGAAGAAAATGCAAGGTTGGAATAAATCAATGGTTGGAAGCTCATGGAAGGAGTAAGAAGTAAACTCAATTCATTATCACTTATGGTTTGATAAGGACAAGGTGAGAGTTCTAATTGATTTTGGAGCAACTGAGAATTTTCTATTAAGTAATGTTGCTAGGAATTTATGTTTGATGTTGATGAAAGATGTGAGTGAGGAAGTTGAATTGGCAAACGTGCAAACTGAAGTGATAGAAACAATACCATGGAGTGTGGAATTATATTTAGGTAGATACAAAGAGAGCATTGAATAGATAGAAATTTATTTAACTTGATATAATGTCATATTTGAAATGTCATGGATAGAGCAATATAATCCGGAGTTAGATTGAAGAAGAAAAGTGATTACAAGTAGTGTTGGAATATCTATATTGATAGAATTAGATATACTCTTTGTAATGGATAAAACATTTATATCTAGAGATGATGTATGTTTCCTTGGACTTATAAAAAATATTGTACTCACGAACAAATTTTACATTCCGGAATCATTGAACGATATTTTTATGGAGTATAAAGATGTTTTTCCACATGATCTACCAGCAGGATTACCACTAAAAAGTCAAGTAGATCACAAGATTGAGATGATACGTAGAAGTACACCAACTTGTAAAGCGGCATATCGTTTGACTCCAAACAAATTGGAAAAATGTAAATTTCAAGTGAAGTAGATATTGAGCAAGATTTTCATTCAACAAAATGTTTTATCTTATGAAACTCCACTGCTCTTTGTGAAGAAAAAGTATGATTCCATGGGACTATGCATCGACTACTTGGGGTTGAATCAGCAAACAGTGAAAAACAAATATTCATTCCTTCTTTCGTATGGATGATTTGTTTGATCAACTTCAAGGAACAAAGTACTTCACCAAGCTAGATTTGAGAAGCAGCTACAATCAAATTCATATTGGAGATGAAGTTGTACACAAAACAACTTTTTGTACTATGTAGACCACTTTGAGTATGTAATGATGTCTTTTGATATCACTAATGCACCAATGGAATTGATGATCGATATCTTTCGTCCCTATCTAGATAGATTTGTCATTGTTTTTCTAGATGATATATTAGTGTATAGCAAAATTTTAAGTGATCATAGAGGTCATTTACGAAAAGTAATTCTAGTTTTGAGTAACAATCATTTGTATCCCAAAACTTTAAAATGTGAATTTGACAAATCAGAAATTGATTACTTGGATCATAGGGTTTCATCCGTAAGAATCCAAATGATGAGTGAGTATATATGCCATTTAGAAATGGACAAAACCTGAGTATCAAATTGAATTGAAAAGTTTTTAGTGCTCATTGGATTTTATCGTAAATTTGTAAAAGGTTTTGTTTGTCTAACTTAGACTTTGATTTCAATGTTAATAAAAGTTTAAAAATGAAAATAGGGAACAATTCAAGAGTTAGCTTTTCAAACGTTAAAAGACGTTTTAATACATACATCTCAACTCAAGTTATATGATACTAATCAGTTTATCAAGTTGACTACTGACGCATATATAAATGAATTATATAAAAGAGAGAAAAAACATTGTTGATATATTTTAACTTCAGAATTTATATTTGTATCTTCGAGTGATATTATCTTTAAATACTAGTGTTATGTTCTAACCAGATTTATCAATTATTTATGTGTTAATATTAATAAAAATATCATAAAAGTTTGATATTTAAAAATATTAGTAAACAAATATATTTAAGATATTAAGAGACTTTAGATCAAATTTTCAAAAAATATAAAATAAAAATTAATAAGAACAAATTACTTGATGAGATATAGGGAAACTCAAAACACTTGATGAGATTTTACTAGATAGGACCTGCAATCCCACATTAAGTGATGTTTCAATTCTAGTTGGGGTTATTTCAAGTAATCATCAAGTCACCGCAAGATTATATACGGATTAATTCATACTCATGGGGACTGTAGTTTTATTACACATGATTGCGAACTAGTCACCAAAATACTATGGCCGGAGAGTGGCGAACACTCCCCATTCTATAGAGCAAATCAATAGGTTATAAGAACATGACTTAACGTGGCCCTAGAATGGGGGTAACATAGGGTAAAATGATACATGACGGATAACTTCAAGAAGATGGAGTTTCCAAGGTTCCATCAACTAATTTATTCCATATATTGCAGAAATCAACTAGTACGCTATCTGAGACGGTAGGCTCTTTTGCAATCGAACTTGTGGGAATAACATTAACTTTTAACACATGACTGGTTTTATACCGCAAAAATTGATAGTTACTACTGCTCATGAGGTTATGTCGATCGGGTTCATCAAAATCGAGAAAAAACTGGCACGTGCTTGTTTGTATAAGGCCATGCAAAATGTGGTAAATCTGTGCAGCTTCGATTAGCGCCCGCACGAGAGCGTTGTCTTCTTCCCCGTAGAGTGCCGCGGACACGGATTTGACTTTGCGGCCAAAAGCCGGGACTATGAAAGTCGTTTTAACAGTATTGCGGTCCAGCGACTCGTTGCGGACATCGAGAGGGGGACCTCCTGACTTCACGCGGAGACCAGTCAGTGGCTGAATCGGTGAACGCGATCCGTCCCGCACTCAGAAGTGCTTCAGAGTGGATTGCATCGTCTTGAGACTCAGAAGACTTCGTCGTCGAAAATGTTTTTCACGTTTCTTCTTTTCCATCTAGTCAACCGACATCTGGTTGTTCGCCGTGCATGACGACCGACATCTTCCATAAGCACTGGGGTCAACAGCACTAGCGAGCGCACTGAGTAATTTCTGCTCTCCCGATTTCGCTTGTCTGAAAACTTGGGTCTTTCATCGAATGACCTTTTTCATTCTCAAGTAGAAATTCCGGTAAATGTCGCAGCTTTTGGAGCTCGACTTCAAGTCCAGCAGCTTCGACATGAACGCGGAGTATTATTCGGTGGCAAGGGATTCTCTAGAAGTCGTGGTCACGAGGAATAGGCAGTTACAAATTCGGGTCGAGAGGTTTCTAATTGTTACACAGTCCGTAGGATCGCAGCAATGGCGGCATACAATCGTTCTGAGCCCTCTGATCCCCGAAAGAGAGCCACTCTCGTCTGGGAGAGATAATTCAGATGTAGTATGACGCGCACAAGAGCACCTTCTGGCCATCATTCACGAGTTGCACGAATACTCAAAGACCGAGGATTATGTAAAGACTTTGATTTGACCTCAGAATTGAGATGGTCAGCGCAAGCACTCAATGTCAAGAGCAAGACTCTGAACAGGTGCTCGTGTTTACAGTCCAGCTTCCACACCAAGTTTTGCATAGAATCGACAGTTGTTGCATTAACTTGAGGATGAGAAATGTCGCAAGCTTTCTATTATGGTCTCAGTCTAGTGAAGGAGGCCGAGGATCTTGACAACGAGGACGAATTGTTCGTCCAGGAACTGGACCCGGTGTTCGGTTCGAGCTCCATCGTGCTAGACGTGCTACCCTGCAAGTCCTTCAAAGTGATGGCACGGCCAATTGTCGAGAACACCGGTGAAGGCTTGGAGGCAGGAATCGGAGGCACGGGAGCATCCCCGGCCAGGACCTGAACAACTTGGCGCATGGAAGGGCGAGATCTGTGGTCCGGATGAGAGCAAAGCAAGCCCATCATGAGCACGATTTCCAACTCGACGACATCGAATTTGCCTTCCAATCTTCGGTCCACTACACTGATCAGCTGCCCATCGCTCAGACGTTTCCACACCATATCCACCAGATGCTCGTCGTCCTCTGCAGCTGTACCGTCGAAAGCTCTCCTCCCAGTGGCAAGCTCCAGAGCCACTGCCCCGAAAGCATATACGTCTGTCTTATCAGTGAACTTTCCTGTCACTGATGCCTCGGGAGCTATGTAGCCATAAGTCCCAGCCACCAAAGTGGTCGTTGCATTCTTGGAATGATCGACCAAACGAGCGAGCCCAAAGTCTCCCAACTTGGCATTGAACTCGTCATCCAGCATAATATTGCTCGATTTCACGTCACGGTGGATCACCTGCTGGCGCCAGCCTTGGTGGAGGTAATGCAGGGCTGAAGCCAGGCCGTAGAGGATCTTCATCCTCTGGCTCCAGTCGATGACATGCTCGGCAGAGGTGGCATGGAAGAGTGCTTTGTCGAGGCTTCCATTGGGCAGAAGCTCGTAAACCAGCAGCAGCTTGCCCCTTTCTCTGCAGTATCCCATCAGCTGCACCACGTTCCGGTGCCTGAGCTGACTGATGATGGAAACCTCGGCCAGAAACTCTCTCATGCCCTGCTTCGAGTCGGCCTTCACCCTCTTCACTGCCACCATCGTCCCACTGCTGACCAATGTCCCCTTGTACACGCTTCCGAATCCCCCTTCTCCGAGCTTCGAGCTCTCGCTGAACGCTCTGGTGGCCGCACTGAGCTGCTTGTAGCTGAAGTGGTCTGGCATCCCTGGCATCTGTCGCAGCTCATCTTCTGCTCTGTACTCCGCCTCCTCTCGACGTTTCTTTCGTAAGAGGAGCAAGAAGACACTAAATCCAGTGACAGCAATTGCAAATCCACCTCCAACTGCGCAGCCCACTATCAAGCCCTCGATTTTACGTCCTTTCTTCTGGGGCAATCCGAAGCTGTTAAATTCCCACCAATCTATGTAGATGTAGCTGTATGAATCTCCCGACGCACCTGAGAATCCGACCCACATTTCCTCATCCAGGTGGCCCAGCAGATCTATGTTGTAATTCAGAACTGCACTATCCGGTCTAGTGCTGGAGTTGCTAAGCCTCACCTCCAGCTCCTTGGTCGAGCCATTGTAGTCAATCCAAGACCACATGGGATCTCCAGTCCAGATATTGCGCTGCAAAATACTCGAGGTGCCAACCTTGCGAGATGTCCCGTTCCTGTCGAGGTTAACACCGATGTGCGTGTAATTTGGGTCATTGTACTCTCCGTTGGGGAAGTTGTCGTACTCGATGGCAACCAGCTTCGATTGTGTACTGCCAGTGGGATACAAGCCCAGACGCCGACCTGTGCCCCCGATCCAATTCTTCCACGGAGCGATGGCGAAGGTCATGCCATCCCCCAGGAAGTTGTTCGGACTGTTATAACTCTGAGGAATCTCACGGAACTTGAAACTGGTGCTGAAGGATGCTGTCGATTTTGAGCCGTGATCGAGCAATTTGACTGGCTTTTCATAATATGCCACTCCAGCTTTTTGGCTTGGATCGATGGGACTTTCGCTTGTCACAGAAGCCTCGGGTATCAGGGATAACGAACCATTGACCACATGAGCAAAGCCTGACAGTAGCAGAGACTGGTTGAACGAGGTAGAGTTGAGGACGAACATCCCATCTGCAGAATTCAGAAGGCAGCTACACACGAAGAGCAGCAGCATTCCCTTCATTTGGTCCCAATTATGTTCGAGTCACTGTCTCTGATCTGCAACCATCAGAGTCATAGCAATGAGAGATGAAGGACGCTTGAGCACATGCTGCAGAACATGCTCATCGCCCAGCTTCGTTCTTACATCTTCCCTGGCGCTGTGTGAGCCTAATGTACACCAGCCACCAAAGCTCCTGGGCTCACAGACAGCAGCAACATTGGCCGCCCTGTGACATGTACATCCATCAACGAGCTACCCGACCACCCTTACCCTGTTCCATTTGTTCGAAAAATCCAAGTATCAATGCCGCCATCGAGTGCTTCAATTCTGTTACCAAGCAAGGTTCCTTCGATTCAGCTCCCGCTTCTGTTTTGGATTTCACGTCTATGAAATGAACTCGAAGTCTATGATCAAGCTCCTACTCCAAATTAAGGAAACACGAAGCTCCGAAGCTCTAGTAGTACCCTGTGAACTCGCTGGACTTGCGACGCCTGTCGAAGTGACTGGGGAAATTAGGGACTTCCTCGATGGGACATCCAGAACGCGCAGTACAGTCTGTCTCGCATTGTCATGAACGAGAGCATTTCTCTACTTCTGACAATGTCATATCTTCGAGTATATCTGCTTCCACTCAACAGTGTACAATTCCTCGACACCATCCGATAAAGTGCCTTTCTTCTGCTTCGGTTGGTGCAATATCTTATCCTCACATTCAATGTAACAACTCTCCTTGCGCAGGGGAATCGATTCGCATCTTCCTAGTACAACAAATAGGTCGGAAACGAGTGCATGGTACTGCACAAGGAGAATCCTTACTACTGCAGATCAACGTGAATTCTCAATCTCGAGGCAACTTTGGATCAGCTTTGGGCATATCGTTCTTCCATGCAAAATTTGAGTCGAGATGTCCATTTTCTTCGTTGCTATTCAGATGAATAGGGTTAGGGTTGAGGCCATACAGAAAGGGTGGACCATGGCTCCTGACAGAAAGATACTTTTTGCATTGTGCATATTCTTGGACACTGGACGATTGAGATGCAGCAGCGAGACTTGCTCGTACGAACTCATGAATCCTAGCACTGATGTCTCAACCCATAGATGTGAGTAGGCTTCGTGGATACTGCAGGGTGCAGAAATATAATCAGGAGAAGAGTAAATACTCAATGATGACGAGAGCAGCGGACATAGCCAGGACATTGGACGAGTGGAATCAGGCTTGCATGCAATCATTGTTTTATTTCTGTCACCAGATTTTGCACCGTGTGTACATTCTGCTCCACAGCTTTATGTGCACTCCTCAGGATTCTTAGTGAATCGCTTTTCCTCCTTCCCCGTGCGGTCCGAGGGCGGAATGCCTGCCGACAATCTTTCGATTTCGCAGTCCATGAAGTGCCCAGCCAAATGTCCTCGAAGACGAAACGAACAATTGTTCTGAAGCAAGGCATTGACCTCGATGTCCAACCGCATGGGACATGAAAAATCCAAGGGGATTGACTATTCTCAAAAGAGCACTAGCAGAGGACCAGTTTCGGTCTACTGTATGTGAATTATTCTTCTTCCACTAAGATATGTTCCTTGCAGAGCGATATAGAATTTTTGAGAGCCATACAAATGCATATAATGTCCTGTGAATATATAATATAATATAAATTGTTCATTTTAAATGTAAAACTCAATTGATCATCCAAAAATCCTAGATTTACAACCAGACAGAGAAGTTGGAAAAACGGACCTTTACAATCAATCACACAAAAGTCTATTTTATCTTTTTATTAAAGCATAATTTTGATATTCATTATAACATTATCTTACATACCCAGTTAAATGTACACTTTATAAACTCAATATTTAACAGATTCAAGATTTCACAATTACAGAACAGAATCAGTTTTAGTATCGCAATTAGAAATATGTACCATTGCATCTGAGACCGACCTTTGACCGTATTTATTTAACCCACACTATCGAAGATAAAACGTGGATCAGAAATGGGCGACCATTTCTCAAATTTGCTGGACATTGAAGCTGACAGAAGAAATGCTTTCGAGTCCACGTCGCCATGGAGCTCATGGTCATAAAATTCATCGAAGGAAATATGAGCGGGACTCTCGAGAGCTCGGCACGAAGAAGCCCGATTTCAGTCTTGGGAATTACCAGCGCTCTTGGACACATTCTGTCGGGGCGACGAGCAGAATTGTTCCAAATGGATCTACGACAGGAAATGAAGAACAGCGTGAGGAGAAAATGTCCCAAAGATTTCGGAAGCCCGCCCACGCACGACAATCGTACTGAACGAACGAGTAATTTGACGATGGGCCATTGTTCGTATTGAATAAAATCCAGCTCAAGACTTCTCCTGAAGGTCGTGCAAAAGTTGTTCATAAATAGAGTTGTTCCAGTGGAGTATGTTGCACAATTGTAAATCTTCGATCGACTTTAACAGCAGTGACATTCGGGTGTCGTTTTTTTTCGGCATGGTGATTCGTTTTCCTCTAGCCACGAGCATTGTTGATTCGTTCAACGCGTTGAATGGGCCCAAGTCGATAGCAACTGGATTCGGGTTTATTCGTCCAACCCCTTATTGACATAGATTCCTTGCTGATGAAGACCTAGATGACCTAAATGGGTGAAGCAGCATCAAGAGTCTGGTGTCTATCGACAATTGTGCCCAGAATCTCCTCGAACTTTTGCCGCCGTATGGATCGCTCGCATCTTTTGGCCCTTGCTAAGGTTTCACCGGAGGCAAGCAGGCTTAATATTTTTGCTGAAGGCCAGCTTGCGTTCATTTTGTATTCTGTTGCTGGTGTCGAGATCGATGGTTGCGATCATAGGCTCTCGCAAGTGATCAGATCTTTAAAATAGAGAGAGATTCATGGGATGTTACGGCTCCAAGCTTTTGTTTGTGCGTGTCCAGCCGTGTGTGCCAGATTGTGGCACTCGCATAAGTTTCCCACCATATATGTTTCTCTCAGTGGTCCAGCTATGGAGCTTCTCGATTGAACGTGCTTGGGATGGCAACTTTCACCAGTTTGGACATCGTTGGACCCATCTTTCTACTGGCTGAAGTTTAGCACATCTCCCAAGCTTAGACAACGTGAAATCATTCGACTGATAGTAACATCGTGTGCACTATCTTCGCAGGTCAAAGTTGTGAGGACGAGGAGATCGTCATGTCTTGGTGGCGAATGTCTGAAAAAGAAAACGCCACAAAATGGAAGAAACTTTCTTTGGCTCTAAGATGGCCCTACAGTCATTGCCACCTCTTGCCGTCAACAATCCAACCACTTTGGTACCTTCGCCATCTTCTCATCCATCAAAACGTGAGGAACTAGAACTGCACTTTGTCTTATCGTCCTGGTGGGAGATTCATAAGACAAGTTTCTATTGTATGACCTGACTTTGTGAAATTGAGTGACAATTAATCCTCCTACATTGACTAGGATTAGCGAGTAATTGTATTGCATTCGGTACCTTTTCATTCCGACTACTCGTGGATGGGGTGAGAATATAGTGTAATTACTACTTCTGTTGTGAGGACTCTGGCAGATAATTACGTCCTTATTCTGACAGTTTGTTTACTCCATCGCTCCAACTTCTTTTATCGTCAAGAGTGTGTTCGGAATGAAAGGGACCAAACGCAATACAACTACTAATTTCGGAATAACGATGAAAGACATTGAGGTAACAACCTTCTCCGACTGAGAGCTTCTTGGAAGATTACTCACTACCGTCACATGACGGCCTACACTCCTATCCACATATTTGGGAGGCAAAGTAGAAATCTCCTTCGGATTAGAAATGTAGTCTCTATTTAACACATTTCATTTCACAAATGCAGGTGTAGAAGACGGGTAATGGCAACCTGGAGATTCAACGAGGAATGAGCAAAAGCGCCGTTCCTTGACGAGGAAAAGACAATCATAGAATGCGTCGAGAGCACACAGGTGACGAGTTGTGTTCCCTTGAAGCGCTAGTATACACTCCGTCATCCCTCTGTTTCCAATTATGCAAAACTGAATATCATCTGAATTCACCGATCTGGTTACTATATCTTTCATTCTTTACTCAGTATCACGTTTGGTTGTCTACACCCATATTGGTCTTGACGTTGGATTTCTCCTTTCGGCGTTGATGGGTCTCAAGACCTGCCTCAAGACCACCGCAGCATCGGTTCTTGTTTTTGTACACACAATGATGGCTGACACACAACTACAAAACTTGTGAGAGTTTTGTGGTTGACTGGACAGATTCGGCGCATGACTCACTTGGGAGTAATTCTCATAACAATCATCGTTACAAACAGACCCCGCTTCGAAGGACCATGATGTGGGGCTAAGACTAATCGGTCAGGTCTGAACATGGTGAGAATCTGAAGTACTATGACTTACTTTAGCATCGCAAATCACGCCACTGAGCAGGTCAGACCGATATCGGTGTGGAGCCCATCCCACCAGTTGGAAAATTACCCACACTTGGGGGAAAACTCATTTAAAACTACCTCCTGATACACAAAGACAGCCGTTTGGATCTTTCTTCTGCCTGTGCTTACGTTTCTGCGTATTGAAGCTGAAGTCTTGGATGTCTCTTCAAGCTCCGTGGTTTCTAACAAGATGCAGTACTTGCGATTTAGACAGTCAGAGCGACCTCACATTTTTCCTCACCTGCACGCACAGGTGCTTCATCGGCGGTTAATCAAAAGAAAAAGACCTATCAAGAACCTCAAAAGGAGAAATGAATGTCATAACAGATACACAAGCATAACTTCCAGTCCGAGAGAATGACAAGTACTTTCTCTTCCAGGACTTTTGAATTCCTCTCGTCTCCTCGTTGACAGGAACAGAGGACTGGAAATCTTCAAATCCTTCGTTGTCGCAGGCATCATATGAGTAACTCCTCTTGCTTCCCTTCCCTCTGCTTGTCATGAAGGTGATTAAATGTGCTGCTCTATGCGCTTGCATTCAAACTTGAATCGAGCCTAGATATCAAAGTCACTATACTTTCCTTGAGACGCATTCCAATTATTCCACCCAGTGAGCCCAGAAAACGACGGCTCTAGAAAGCTTGACATCAGCAGAAATGTATCAAGATTGCTACTTTATTACATGGTACAAGAAAAATCACAATAAATTGAATAAAGCTGCACACAGTGCGCACTATCTTCCTTCGAAGGCTCTAATATCGATCATCTCTTCTTGGCCGCACCGGTCCGGGGGTACTCAGACTACAAAATTGATGTCAAGTGATTTGACTAAGAATTGCTCTAGAAATCCGATACAGTGCTTCAGATTTGCTGAATTTACTTGCGTCTCTTGAATCTGCAAAGAGGATAGAGAACGCATAGAGTTAGCTCTCTAACAACACCTTCTATCATCCGCATTATGACAGTAGGACATAATGCTCGAGTATATTTTCTTAAATAACTACATGGCCCTGAAAAGAAAGGTGAAAAGATACGTGGAAGTAACAAATGCAACAACAACGAACACTAGACACTGAGGTTCTCCAACTTCCGCAAAAACCATTCGCACACTGAGGTAAAGAGAAACTTCACCTCGCTTTACTCTTGAATGCTTTCTTTCCTACTCCAGGTTTCCTTTTGGGCTTTTTGTCTTCCCTGTCCCTGCTTCCCTTCTTTCCAGCACTCATGTCACTTCCAAAAAGCTCTTCCATCTCCTCTTTCCGCTTTGGTGCCTTCTCTTTCTTCTTGGATTCTCTTCTCTTTGGCGGTAATTTGCCAGCAGCTCGCGCTCTCGCTTCTCCCTTGGCAGCTTTGGCACTCAAATATGCTAAATCAACAACAGACTTTCCACCTCCCTTCTTTCCCTTGGCCTTCTTCCCTGCTGGCAACCCGGTCTGCATAATCGGACAACTAAGAGTCTCAGCAATTATCCAAGATGCCTCCATATACAATATGATAATTTAATAGACTTCTGCATTCAACTCTCTCTCTAAAGCTGGAAAGCAATATAGTAGAAAGATTAAAAGCACTCCATGTCCAGGCCGAGTTGGTGAGTGAAATAGAGTGGTCAGAAGAAAACCTCTTCGTCATCATCGTCGTCATCGTCTTGGTCCTCATCCACTTCCTCACGAGATGCTTCCAAGCGTCTACGCTTCTTACGACTTAGGTTTTTCTGAAAGTGCACCGAGCGGAACAATTCAGTGATTTAGTAGTCAATTTATCCACAAATGAACGATAGATCAAAGTACAGGTACGTCCATAGAGCACAAATGGGACGGAAAGGAACTCGGTTAAGAACCAAGTAAAAAAAATCTCAAACGAAAAGTAATGTTGTGAACTTGAAGAAAATACAGACGCCAATAGTCTTCTACTGCAGGAATAAAGAAACGTGAGGACTTATGTTGAGCACCTCTCTCTCAATCCGTCTTTTCTCTTTCTCCTTGTTCTCTTGAGCTTCTTCTACGCTGATCATCTTCTTGCCCTTTCCAGCCTCCTTGCCAGCGGCATCAGGTTTCGTTGTCGCTCTCTTTTCTTTCTCTGTTTGGAACCATATTCTCTTCGGACGCGAGTAGATCTCATCCTCATGTTCCATCATGTTCTGCGCCTTGTTTGCCTCCATTTCCGCTTTCCGTAGTACTCTTTCCTCCCTTTCCTCTTGCATAATAGTCTTGATGTCAACCTCTAGCTCTTCAATCTTTTGTCGCCATTTCGCAATTGCTCCTTGGGCCAAAATTCTATTTTTTAACTTGGAACCAGATTTTTTAGCGACGGCTTTAACCAGCGGACGGTCTCGTTCAGTGGCAAAAGTAATAGCACAACCTTTATTCCCTGCCCTTGCCGTACGACCAACTCTGTGCACGTACCTGAAAAATGAGTGCAGCATTAGCGCGTAAAACGTAGCCCCAAGAAGATTTGCTTGCTTCTAATTGACAGAATCTTATACTTGCTCTGCGCATCCATCTCGTTGTTCTCGACAAATGCCCTTGTCAATTCAAACTTTCTTGTATCATAATTCTTATGAAACAAGATATGCAGCCCAGCATCTATTATGAAATCGCAGCATGACTCGATGATAAAAAGGATGTTTACTTGGACAAGTGAGGGAACTAACAATCAGCCTCTTCTAAACGCGAAAGACAGATCCGACCCGCTAAACAATTGTACCACGGTCCGCATGGTTTCTTACTAGACACCATATCGACAATTTGCCCGCATCTATCTTCATAGGAAAACCACAAGCACTTCTTTAGCAAGATGGAGTACGTCTTGAGAGAGCCTTACGTCGTGATATTGGAAGGGCATTCGTAGTTGATAACTGTCTCCACTCCAACGATATCTAGACCCTGAATTTGTCGTAGATAAACATAACCATTAGCATCCTCTAAAGAGCTGGAAGGTACATTGAGATAAAAAGACAAAGCACAAACAGCTTAAACAGATCTGGCTGTCAGTTTGAGAAACTGAACGGGAAGAGAAAAACGTTACGTACTCGTGCAGCGACATCTGTCGCAAGAAGGAAGTCAGCTTCCTGCTTTCTAAAAATTTCAAGTGCCTGCGCACATTATAGAAGAAAACCACAGTGAGATTTATGGGAGGGTAAATAACATCTCTGGACTTCACCCTCACAAAGGTAGGTAATGTCCAGATCGGACGAAACTCGCATTTAGTTACAATTGTAAAGAAGGCGCCCCTTATATGGTACAAGTGAACGAGGGGTCTCCGAAATGACAGGTCGCAGAAAACGAAACTCGAGTAAGGCATGGTTATGAGCACAACGATCGATCCTGAAATATAAATGGAGAAAAGAACAACCAAGCCCCTCCTATCTGAAACAAGATTTATAATGAAAACGCAAGTCGTTGCTGTGACAACTTACATCAAGACGCATAGCCTGAGTGAGATTGCCGTGTAATTCGGCAGCTTTGAGGCCCAAGAGACCAAACAAAATCTTCAGCCGATGAGCTTCGATCTTTGTCCCACTGATCATATATGGGAAACGGAGCTTATAATCAGAAACCAAACGGTATGTCCCGGGTGTTTATTACTATAAGTTGATCAGTTCAACTAGCGCGTGCATATTCTGGTCGAATTATCTATCACCTAGCACGGTAGATGTTGATGATAGAGGCCCATCTTTGCGCTCGACCTTATTTTGAAATAGAAAAACAAAGCTAGAGGAAGACAGAAATAGCACAAGAACCACATTAAACAAAAGGCTAATAGCTTCAAATCCATGCTCCTGAGAAACACTCTTCGACCTGAAAATGATGACCTTCGATGTGAACGATCGGGTGCAGAGGGCGAGAAGTACAGCTTCCTTGTCAGCTTCGACATTTGGCCTTATCTTTACGACTCTAAAACATGGCAATTGTTAAGGTACAATTAGTTGACGAAAACAGTCATGCATCGTACGTACAGGTAGAGCCTTTGGAGGTGGTTTAAATTCAAAACGTACTCTTCTGTTAAAGTAGAGGGTCGTTGAGTTTTGGGATCCGCTGAAAGGCGTACAGGGAAATTCAAAGAAAGCTTTACAAGCTCATCGACTTCGTCAGTCATTGTAGCAGAAAAAAGCATCGTCTGCCTTCTCGATGGGCACATCCGTACCTGTCATACGTATACATTCTAGAATTATTAAACAAGGATCCAGTTTGTGCCCGGTAAAGCCAAGAGGTAGACTCTAGACGGACATCTAGTGGCCTGTATGATCGCTGCAGAAATGTCCCACCGACATGGCTAAAGACCAGTTTAAGAGATACAAAATCAACTAAGGACAGACGTATCGATCCTGTCAACAAACATGCTTACTACTTCAAGAGGCATCTCAAACGGATGGACCTTGACGTCCCAAGTACAGACGACTGCACGCGACTCAAACTCGAATCAGAAAGAAAATTGGATTCATACGAAAACGGACCGTTACATTGGGGGAAAAGGAGCATAGACAACACTGTCATCATGAAACATGTCACAGCAGTAATTGGTGAAATCATTGTTTATCTTTGACACGAGTCTAAAAACTACTTCTGGGACACATGAAATATGACAAATATATTGACAATAAACTCGGCCAATTACCCCCAAATTCACATTTATGATTTTTTTGGAAGCAGAATTGAAGCAAATTACTCAGGAGGTGGACCAGCCCAGAGCGATATGTGACTGCTAACTCAAGAAAGACTCTCTCGTCCTTGAGACTTAAGTGACAACGATCATAGAAACATTCTCACCAGCTCATGAACCTCCTTGGTAAATCCGAGTTCCAAAAGTCGATCAGCTTCGTCGAGGACAAGAATAGCTAGCTCTTCTATGCCCACAGACTGGGCATTGTGCAGATGGTCTATCATTCGTCCGGGCGTAGCTACAACAATGTCTGGTCGAGTGCGCAGTGCTGCCTCTTGAACCTGGGCCAAAGGTCGAAGTCTGTTGGTCAAAACACGTACACCACAGGGGATGAAAAACCTGACGACTGGCAAAAGCTGCAGTGATGTGTAAAGGCGTTTCCTAGGCCCCTACCTTACTTGAAAGACCTCCGACTACGAGACAGCATCGAATATCTGTGAACTGTGCCAGCTTCTCGAGCATGCTGTGTACCCTATATTATAGCAAGAGAAAAGGGTGAGCATAATGCTTGTACAACTCCAAATTAAGTCACATAACTTGCAAATCAATCGGATCCTCACAACCACCCAAAAGCTGAGATTGGTTCATTCAACAGGTGAGGTCCTAACTGTGATCCAACAGACCTAAAATTTCGGATAAAAACAAGAAAAATGGGTTTATCGCGATATTGCTCAGGTAATAGAGAAGAAAGTTTGGCTCATACTGCACAGCAAGCTCACGGGTTGGAGTGAGGATCATCACGCGGATAGCTGGAATTCGCCGAGGACGGTACAGCAGCCTCTCCAGAATTGGCAAACCAAAGGCTGCGGTCTGCGACAACCCAATCACATACACTTGAGTCCGTGACGCGGGAATTATAGTCCACAGGTTTTGCAAAATGTGTCCAGTGACTGAAAAGGATCATTCTCATACAAAAGGATGAGGACGTTTGTGTTGACATGTTCCTCTACTACATCAGCAAACTCAAAGCATACCTTGCCAGAACCGGTGACGGCACTTCCACTAATGTCCCGTCCTGTAAGTGCCAATGGTATGCATGCTGCCTGTACAGAGAAGACAAAAGTTGTGGATTTGAGTTCAGAATCATGGTAGAGGTGGTTTTTTCAGTTCCAATTTTCTTGCATGACATACCCAAAACAAGATCTCTTGCAGCAAGGAAAAGGATCTCTTGCAAGGAAAATCGCAGATACGTGGATTTCGGAAAAAAATAATACACTTCGACACATAGAGCTTGGATCTAGATCATTCACTTTCGGTAACCTGACTTCCTATATGACGTATAATCTCTCATACAATTGAAACGTTTACAGTTGTATGATTTGATTGTTATTGCTTGAGCTTGAATATTCTGGGTATTTGTCACCTCGCGAGAAACCAACCCAAAAAAATACATGCACTTATTCTCGTAACAAAAGTTTTAACAATTTGGTCGAGTGATACCGCAGAAAGCGTGACATGCTGGAAAAAATACTAAGGTGAACATATCAAAAGCTATGCACTCCACATTGGTGAATTTCGACTCGTTCGCTGCAAGATCATTCACCTCTAAGGCCCTGATACGAAATTGGTGGATTTTTGCAATTTAAGTGCCCATACCTGGATCGGAGTAGGTTGTTTGTACCCCAATGCTTCGCATGCGCGCACAAGAGGACGAGAGAGGTTGAGGTCTCCGAACGACTTGGCACTGAAGGAAGCCCCTTCAGATGACGCAAAAAAAGCACCAGGCTTAACCTTCTTCTTCACGGCCTGGACCTGCTCTCCTTCCACCACAGCCTCTTCAGGCTCCTGGTCATCGTCACTGTCACCATCGTCTTCGTCGTCCTCGTCCTGATCGTCTTCATCATCTTCCTCAGCCTCACCCAGAGATCCTTCTACCGCATCTTCTACCTCTCCAGCATCATCCTCATCAACCTCCTCCTCTTCCTCCTCCTCCTCTTCGCTATCTACATCCTCCTCATCCTCTGTTTCATCCTCATCCTCCTTATCATCGAACTCGTCTTCGTTGAACGCCTTGGAGCCTTTCTTCTTCTCCCGAGCTTCATCCTGCTGTTCCTTCTCAGCGGCTTTCCGCTTCTTCCTACTCCTCAATTCCGAAATCTTATGGTCCAAAGAGGTCGTATTTCGATTCGCATGCTCGGTCTTCACACTGTTGGAAAACCCACTGAATTCCCACGGAGATTGAGACGGTCGTGTACTCTTCACCTCCACCTCACACCCGTCGAACACAAACCCACGATTCATCCTTCCCCACAGCCCCCACACAACTTACGCACTCATAACTGAAACCCCACCCCAGCTCCAGAGCACCGTGCCCTCCAATCTCCGACCTCCAGCCCCGATTCCAACCCTGAGAAGGACCTCGATCTCCCGAATCATTCACCACGAATTCCTTCCACCGCCGGCCAAAAAACAGGACCCAAATTTCGAGCCAGAAAATCAACGAGGTCAAGGTTCGAGCAACAGGGAGTCAGGAATTCAGAGCACTGCTGAAGGCACCGGGGGCATCGGCACGCGAGCAGCGACAGAGAGAGAGAGAGAACTCAGGGATCGAAGGATCGAGGGGCGAAACCCTCTCTAAACCCTAAAAAGGTACCCTAATTTATATAGCGCACACGGGGGCTCGAACGCAGGTCCGGCAGGATCCGCTCCAGAATGTCGGGCCGTATATCGGGTGCCGCCAAATGCGGCGACCAGGCCCCGCCTTCTGGGAATCGCCCTCTCTGGAACTAGCAAAGCGGGCTGGCCAACGGGAACGCCCTTTATCGCCGAGACGAAGATGCGAAGCCCCTTTTGCTCGACAAAACGTGCGCTTCTGAGATTTGCTGCCAGTCCTCGTCTCGTGCACTTTCCTCCCTCGCTCGCTCCCTCCCCTCGCTCCCCTCGCTCGCTCGCCCGCCATCGCTGCCTTCCTTCCTCTCCCTCTGCCTCTGCCTCTGTCGATCATCACCGCCCATCACCACGTCGTCAATTTTGCGCAGGGATACGAAGTGGGCCGCGTGCCAGAGGGAGCAGCAGGTGGGGCGATCGCGCCGAGTTGTGCGACGAGGATGGGAGTGATCTGAGAGGAGATGAGATGAGATGAGAGCAGAGGAGGTCGTGGGGATGCGGAGTGGGGAGAGTCTGTGAGGGGCTGAGTGAGTGCGTGCGTGCGTGCTCGCGGGTGATTTTTTTCCAGAGGTGGAGCGAGGAGTTGGTTGATCTGGGGATTTTATTTTTTTTGGCGGGAGTGGTTTGGAGAGGGCGGGCGATGGATCGATGGATTTTGTGGATTCAGCGGGTGGAGACGAGGGAGTGAAGCGGGAGATTGGGAGGGAGGGGAGTGTGAGCTGATTTTGGGTCGAGAATTGGTGGCGCGTTGAGGAGGGGATCGATTTTCCCAGGGGTGGAAAAGTTGTCGAAATGGGGAGGATAAAGCCGCAGGCTTTGTTGCTGCAGAGCAAGAAAAAGAAGGCGCCTGCACGATTCAGCGTTTTGACTATTATGGCGTGCAATCTCGTGCTCATTTTGTTCCTGCTGTCCATGGTCTTCCTTCACAGGCACAACAACAAACAGTAAGTTATCCCCCTTGGTTGTATGGCCGAGGACGGCAGCTTTTTGAAAATGGATGTGTTGAAGATTGCGTGAAGGAGTTCACATACGCGGCAGCAGTGCTGCCACACCAGATCCTAGTAAGCTTTGGGAAGAAAAGGAGAAAAATCCATAGCTGCCGATCAATACTCTGTTTTGTCGAAAACATAACGTTTACAAATCGGAGAAGATCCCCAGTAATGGAAACACTACATGAGCAGAGCAAGCAGCCGTGATGAGAACTAAATATATATATATACGCCACTTAAAATCCAAGAGCACATAAAATTCAGTTGATAGCAAAGCAGATCAGCTCGCCGATCTAATATCTGGAGAGTTGATAATTTCCATATGATTCATGGAATTTTGGAAAGGCCCATGACCTTCGCGGTTGCCTTGTAACTCTGGCGTGGGCAGTAAATTTGATGCACGGATCAAGGGCTTGTGCACCGATTTAAAGAGTGTCATTCGAACAAAACCTTGAGAAGGAGGAGGGATCTTGGTCTTACCGTCTCAGTGCGTGCTACTCCAGTTTTAGTTCTAAAGGAAAAGCTGATAGTGCTGACACTTTTGATACCACCTTGGTATTAAACTTTTTAGTGCTTATGTTCAAGTTCGACAACCTTAATGAACATTTAGTCTTGAGATCTGTCCCAGTGATGTGGCAAACGTTAAAACTGATCTTAGTTAGCAGATCGTTCTATGAGGAGTTCTGCGTGGTTCGGTGCTGTATCTCACAAACCGTCACAAGAGAATCTTTGCTTACAAAATCTGAATTTGGCCATAACAGTGCAACCGAGATTTTTTACCAACACAGTTTCTGAATAAGCTCTCAGTAGCATGTACTGCCACTGACAATCTGAGTAACATGGGTTTAGTTCGTTCCATGTTATTGTGATTAGCTGTTTACATTGAGATCATTTGGTTTGAATTTCTTAGCCCGCAGCAGAAGTGAACTCAACAATTTCTCATCATATCTCTCTTTTTCTCACCCAGGGTTAGGGATTCTGATTCCTTCAAAACACGTCAAACGGGTGACAGTGCGTCAGAGTTCGAGGTATGTTTGAGTTTGTGGTCCCTTCTTCACTTATCAAAGTTGACATCATAGTTCTTTCCTTTCATTTTCGTCTGAGGCTCATGACAATTGCAACGTCTCCCCTTTGTTTGGAATCTACTTCATGCTACACTTCAATCGAATCATGGAATAGTCTGTTGTATTTTCGTCATCCGTAGACCAGTCGACTTTCAAGTTAATGGTTCCGCATGTCAAGGATGTGTTCTCTTTGTCCAATCAGTCCTATGATCGTTTTTACCCGCTTTCTCTATATTCTCCCGTCCTTTTCAAACTATGTACTTGTGGGAGTGACAATGATATTGTCTTCGCAGTAATTCCTCTTCGTAACCTGGCCACTACATACACCGTTATGTGGCAAATTGTGTTCTGGACGGTGTTAGTGACAAACAGAATGAAGAGATATGTGATCTAAGAAGGGGGAGTTTTGAGAGGATGTAGTGTAGGTCATGTGTATTTCATCAGTTTCCAAGTAACTCTCAAAGTTTCAGTTGTAGTCTCTAGCATGAATTATATCCTTCCTGAATAATCATACTCAATGATCAGGTCAAGATATGTTATATCATATGATAGGTATTATGCACTGATGCCCCCTTGGATCTTTTATAGTTAAGTTGTCTTGCTTATGACCCTAAATTTGAAAACCTAGGTCCCTTCAGATCACATTTCAAACACAAATAGGTTCTTTCATGTTTTACTATTCATTACCTATTTTGCAGTACCTCGAAAACCAGCTATGCCATGGTAGTCAATTTGTCTTGATTGTTACTCTCCTTACTTAGAATTTTAATTCTGGTTCTTGTGTCTGATACGTTATGTACAGGGTAAAGAAAACGAAGGAGGGAATCGGGGGAAACTTGCCCGGCGATTTGGAGCATCCGATGGTGATAGCGTCGGAACAACCTCCAAGTTTGCGGTATACTATGTTATTCATATTTCAATTTAATTCTGATTATGTTCATGCCAGACTACCTCAGTCAATATTCTGGAAAAAAAATGAATCTCCCGCGAAACCGCCACTTTCACACCAAGAGAGAATCCTTGCACATAAGGCCTATTCTGGCGGACAATCTTGCCTGCACGCTCGGATGATGTCCTGGTGCTAACAGTTAGCACTATGCTTTATTTGTTGCCCTACGTCCATAATGGCCAGACGAACCTACATCGGTCCAGAAACTGCTATGTTGGCCCACATCATTCTTTGTGCAGATACGATTTCACTTGATTACACAAGCAGTTTGTTTTTTGTGGTGGAGTCATTTCTACTGGCATGTAGCGTGTGCACTCTTTCATTTAGAGTCAGCTGCCGTAACGTACCTATTTTGTGTCCAAGCAGATGTCTTTCCGCAAGTTTCAAATTATATCGCGATGCGTGTTCTATAGGCCGGTACAGTTTTCAGACGGACTTCTAGTGGAGAGGGTCAGCCGTCACCAGATTGTTTCTTACACCCAGTATTTGTTGTTACTTCCTTGCAGATCCTGAACACAACAAAAGGACAGATAACTCTAGAACTCTTTGCGAAAGAAGCTCCGAAAACCGTCATGAACTTTGTCACTCACAGGTATGATGCTAACTTTTTGTATTATTAACTTTTTGTATTTGTATGTGCTGATGTTATCTAGTAGGCGATCTACTTGACGAAAGACTGGACAAGAATAGTTCGATAACGTCATGACTGTAGGAACACGGGTTTTGGAGTATAACATCGTCTCGCTACTTAGGTGTAGAGTATGCGTCGATTGCAGTAAGCTAACTGGTCTGAGTTCTTTATCAAGAGTGTCTCTTAAGGATATGTTTTGGCGTTCGTTTATCTAGAAACTGTGCCTGGGTATCAAGCTAATGTGCCCCTACTACGATCGGAAGTTAATTTGTATGCAACCTGCGTCAGACTAGTTTGAACCTCAACACCTTTGTGAGGCCTTCTCTGGCCTACTTAATTCTTCATTGGAACGTTGTCGGATGATATGCAATGCCCAGTTTTGGTTCAAAGTTTGTGGATTCTTTGGACTGTTTCAGTGATAATTGTGATGGCAAGTCATGCTCCTTCCTTCTTTTCATCATCTTCTTTCCTCTATCCCCTATTATTTTTCTGTGTTTTTGCGGATCAGTAGTGAAGATTATTTGTATTTTCAATTTTATGTTATATTGTTGTTCTCTGCTTTCCTGTCTTCTTCATCACTTTATGAGCATGTATAGATCTGCCTTCTACTGTAGCTGACCTTCGCATTTTGTGTTAGAACCTTTTTGGGGGTAATTTTCGAAGAAGACATCGTGCTTGAGGAAGGACTGTCTTTATTGACATAATATGCAGACTTATATCTGCTGGCTTGTTCAGTATCTGACAAGTGTCCGATGGATTTTATGAATTGCACTTCTTGTTTCCAGCTGCTCTTGATCCGAAGTGCCCACGTTTTTTTAGTCCTTGGTTTGACTCTAGTTGGGTACTTTGATCATATTGGTCTTTTGTTATATAAAAGTTTTCGCTTTCTTGTTTTACTTCCATGGCTGTCTTCGCATTCTGCACGTTTTAGATCACGGACTCCCTAGCCTTAGACGCTGACTGAAACTTCCTGAGAAAGCGAATTGAATAAATGTAACAATAATCAATGTACCTCATAATAAAAATGAATAACGTGCGAGGGATCATGTCTTCTGTTTTCCTCGCTGAAGAAGCTGGCCTGTAGACCTTAAATTTATCAGCATACTTCTAGGGCCTAAAGCTGTATTACTGTAGACTGCGTTTGTATTGTGACCTTTGAGCAAACAATTCAGGCTGACCTTGCTTACATTCTTTTACGAAAGCTGCTGATTAGGGATCTAGGTATTTATTGTAGACGCCCTGTAGGTCACAGGGCGTCTACAATACGTTCATTGGTTTGTTTGCTTCATTTGAATCGTTCTAGATACTGATATGTTAAGACCTTATTTCAAGTGACGAGGTGACTAGAAAAGCTTGTGTTCCAGGGGTGCAGTCTGCTAACTGGCTTGCCTCCCCTTTATACCTCGAGACAAGAATGATCGCACCGGTCATTTTTCTTCTTGTTCAAGTAAGATCATGACCTAGTTTTCACCGCAGGATTTGGTGCCAATGTTAGGCTGTCTGCTCATTACACTGTGTGTTTTGCTCAGCCATCCATCGGTCTAGTTGACTTACCGAACTTTTCTCTTGAAATTAAATCTTAGACAGACGGTTCTCTCATTACCCTGAACATAGTACTTGAGTATAATATCATCTGACTCAAGGGTAGTATGTACGAGGCCACTCATCTACTTACTCCTTGATCTTCATTGTTCCAATTTTATGCTGCTATGTAGTTTCCAGCTCCCTGGGTATCTTCTCGTTCCAACTCTATAGCCCCTTGAAGTCTTGGATTTCAACTGTCAGTCAATGATTCGATCACGGCAAGTGGACTGTCACATTCTTTATGTAAAAGGCATGTAAGGAGGCCGTGTCTATGTTATATGGTCCATGACGCTTTATCAGGTAAATATTAATGAGCGCAATTTTTGAAGATGCATCTTCGGGCCTTTTCTTTTCCCAAGTTTTAGGACTCTGTAATTACATGATTTTGATGTGTGATAATAGCTTCAGATTTATAAGAATACCTCACCCCTAGGGTAGCTTAAGACGCTTTGTAGCACAAGTGTTGAACAATGGGAAGACCGTCTGTTAGTGCTAAACCTTCTCATTCCATGGTTGTTGGTAACCTCGTAATGAGCAAACAATAAGCAGATTACTTCGTTAGCGTACGTCGATATCTGCCTCTTGATATGTCGTATTGGTGCTTTGTACCTGAGAGACTACAGGTGTTTCTCTCCCTTCATCCTGTTAGTGCGTGAGTTTCGAATTTAATGGCTGTCTGCCTCCCTTTTCCCGCAACTCAGTCGAAGGCTTCGCTTGTGGATAATGTCTCTCAACTGGATCCGTGGATTTCATCAGCTGTATGCTAGGCCATGTTTTGGGCGTTTCTCAGTTTCCATTCATAGGGTTATGCTTCAGACAGATTCCCTATGCTTGTACCTCCCGAGTCCGTGCTCCTGGATCTCCTTGCTTGTTAGGCCCTTGCGGTTGATCATGCGTTAATACAATAGTTTTCAATGCATAGTGATGATGAACGAGTCACATTGCCACCTGCTTTTGTTGATGATCTTCGTGATGCTCCTCTTCTAGCAGTCCTAACGTCAGCCATTTGGATGAGTGTAATTACACGCTTATTGAGAATAATCTTGAGTTCTTAAGACCTGGGCTTTCGTCTGTGATCGTTGCATTTTGTTCTGAGTCGAAATTATTCTTTCTTCCTATATCAATGGGAGTGAAGCTGATCATCAAACCGGTCTGGTTTCTGAGTCCACATCATTGTTCATTTTTTGTTCGACTGTAGTGAAGCAGGTTATTATAACCGTCTGATATTTCATCGAGTTATCAAAGGATTCATGATCCAAGGTGGAGACCCCAATGGTGATGGAACTGGTGGGAAGTCAATATGGGGTGACAAATTTGAGGATGAATTTAATCCAGGGTAAGCTTTATCTGAATCCTTGAATCATCAATTGCATGGCAAGAGTTCGTTTGTTCTTAAGTGTACTCAATTTTCGTGGGAATTACATGAAGCTCATGGCATACTGAAAGGGAGATACTTTGCGCTAGCAAATACCTTGTGGATGTCAGAGCTGATGTAGTTGCGTATATAGTTCGCGTCTATAGTTGGAGGGACTGCGTCACTGGTAGGTTTTGCTCCATATCAAGTGTCTCGGTACTTTATCTTAGATTATGGACGTCGATTGCAATTACTGAAAGTCTTCTCCACTCTGTTTGGTAAATACCTTAACCCTGATTCAGGTGACTTACCTTCGTCTTGTTGGATATCTATTTTCATCTGCTGAACTTGATCTAATGTGCTACGCGATTGACAACTGGTTTTGCTGCGCAGCCTAAAACATGAACCATTCACATTGTCCATGGCAAACGCTGGTCCCAATTCAAATGGTTCACAGTTTTTCATAACTACCGTGGGTACACCTCACTTGGATAACAAGCATTCAGTTTTCGGACGTGTTGTTCGCGGACAAGATGTAGTGCGGGTAAGTGAATGTGTCCTGAGTCTCAGAGTATATTGTATTAAAAAAAAAAAGTGACTCCTCGTTGATTTTCATGAGGATAAAAGCTTGTATGTTTCTTGAGAGGTCAAGTCAACACACTCCATGGTTCACTTTGCTGACAAATGCCAATGCACGCAAAGATTCTGGTTCCAAGTCTTCCGACTACTACTTCAGGTTGATGGAAGTGCCTTCATTGGTTGTTGTTGCTGTCATGTAGGAAATCGAGGATTCAGAAACAGACAATCAAGATCGGCCATTAGTACCGGTGGTGATCAACAATATTACGATAAAGGATTCTTTGTAGCGAAGCCTCTGTAGTCTTCGCAGATTGTGAATGTTGCGCTTGTTCACCATCGTAATTGGCTTTTTCACTTGATTCTGCAAGTTTCGACCAGACTCGTCGCGAGCGTTGACAGCCCGAAGTTGGCAGGAGCTGCTTTCCGCCCCTTGCAAACTCTGCATTGCAAACGAGGAATAGATTGTGTGCACCAATGCAGTGTGGGCATTTCCCCGTCTAGTGGTGATTCTCCGTACAGCTGTTTGTGCAGACTGTACTGGCATCTCATCACCCAGGCTGCATTGCACTGTCAGCAAACAGCAGTAGTAGTTCACGTTTTGTTGCAGGCAGCTTACAGATTACAGATTGTTAGGTGTGCCACATACTTTCGCAGAGAAAGTAAGGGTTTGTAGTGTTGTACCAAGTTTTCAGTAGACCGCTATTTATTTAAAGGACACCATCCGTGATTTGACCGATCATCAGTAGTAGCTTGGTGTCTTGAATAGTAATTAATAAAGTCATCCTTTTGTGCATAGAATCTTATGTGGATCCGCTATCCTCCGATTTAATAATGCGATTTATGAGTGTGCTCATGCGGGCTCTGTTATATCCCAGCGCAGCCCACCTGAGAAGGCCTTTTCAAATGCATTTCATCATGAGGCCCTCGCTCTGGATTGCATTTTCCTGCATGCACACCATGAGCTGCCCTCGTCTCGTACTCATCTCACGCAGCAGATTACACATCGAACCCACTCGTAAAGACTCTCTGAATGTTCCTTGTGTTTTGCTCAACGTCCGCTTCTGACAGCTCGGTCTGTGTGTTGGCGTGCCATTACATTCACATCTGTGTCGAGCATTGGAGAATTTTTGAAGTTGACCGACTAAAGCACACGCGATCACGATCTGCAGCTCATCGATCGATGGTGGAGTGTCGACGCACACGCAATCCTGCCAAAGAGGAGTTCAAGCCGAGCTGGCTGAGATGAGAGAGGGCAGTGAAAGAATATCCGAGAGAGAGGCTCGGCAAGCAAGCAAACATAATTAAGGAGGAATGGTATGGCTCTCAATCTCCAGTTGTGACAAGGTATCATTCCATTATGTGCCAACTGGAAGCCACCGCAGGCAAGCTCAGGTTCAAAGGAACCGACGAGTGTGATAGTGCGTTTAACTACGCTCAGAAGGGCTCCGAAATTGGTAAACGGGCCGTCTTAAATCGCGGGATATTGACTGATATTGATCGTTTATGAGCGCGGGGCTCATCAATTCGCGTCGCAGCGATGGCGACTGGGAGGAACGAGGCGAGGGTGATGGGGATGGGGGCCCCGTGAAATTGGCGACGCCTTTATATGGCGATTGAATGAATTGAACAAGTTGAGCTCGCGAGCACTTTACTGCACGAGGCCCTTTCCGAAGGTTGCTTTCTCCATGAAGAATGCTTACAGCCCCTTGAAGAGAGGTGTCAGGCAAAAGTTGCCTTGCTATACGGGATGCTTGTCATTGGTTTCGAGTCAACCAATTTTCTCATCAGGGCGCTATGACGTGTAGACAAAGCTGTAAACACAAAAGTAATGGTCAATGCGCATGACATGTATGAGTCCTGGCAAAAGACTGCTTAGAACGTGAGAGTTATGGTCTGGGGATTACGTTTTCAGCGTGATGTTCTTGGCATGGACAAATGGTCAGCCCAGCTCATAAATCCTTTGAACCTTTCTAAAGTCGGAAGACGCGAGTCATGGTCATGGGACTCATCACGCCTCCGCCCATAAATTGTATTAAACTTTCTAAAGTGGGAAGGCGCCACCGGGGAGCTGGCATCTCCAAGGTTTTGTTTGTGAACGACATCTTCTTTAAGAGATGGCCGAGGCCAGGCCCGCAGTCAAGTCAAAGTGCAGCAGCAGCAGCAGCAGACGGGCTGAGGCTGCGGAGCTGAGCAGGGGAGGCGAGGCGAGGTCAGTGCAGTACCACTACTGCTGCCGATCTGCAGCAGCAGCAGCAGCAGCAGCGGGCGGAATCACCACAGCCACGGTCCGTGGTAGCTCGACGCTAGGCATGTGTTGGACCTCAGATTCACTCACTCACTCGCTACTACTACTCGGTGAGCGCTTTGGCAGCAGGCAGCAGCAGGCGAGTTGCACTGGCTCCACTCGCGCTCGGGCTCTCGCCAGTGAGAGAGCACATTGACCATGCTGTACAACATAGGATCTTTTTTGTCCTCTAGTTGTCTCTTTTTTGTAGTCTGAAATATCTTGGACTGGGCAACAGGACAAATTCCTTCAACGACTCCATTGCTGTGGTGTGAACAATCTTGGACAGGCAAGAAGACAAACGAGGGGATGAACAACATACACTATACTGTTCACCCAGATGGAGGGAGGGAGGGAAGAAAGGCCCTCACTCAGTTCACTCTCACTCACTCACTCACTCACTCCCTCACACCCCAACGAGGACACTCTTCCGACTCTCGCAGCTCAGCTCAGCTCAGATCAGTTCAGTTCAGTTCAGCTCATCAGCTCATCAGCTCAGCTCAACTGGCCCGGGTGATTGCCATTCATGTGTGATGTGGTGCTGCTGGAGCTTGGGCGGTGGCCTTTATCCACTACCAAATGGAAGCCGGGAGGAGTGATTCGGCAATTTCACCTCAGGGCGGTAGCATGTCTGTGCATGAGCCGAGAACATTGTGACGTCGAATCGCGAGGTGCGGCAGGGCTTCAATTCTGAGCGCGCAAGAGACAAGCTGATTAAATCCACGCACCCGGTGGAATGGCGCACTCGCTCGGTGGGCCCTGCAGGAGCACAACACCGCCACATAGCGAAGAGCTCAGAAGGTCGAGGTGCGGCTGGACTTCTCAGAAGGGCCTCTTCTTCTGCTTCTGGCAGCTGACTGACTGACTGGCTGTGGGGAAATTGGATGGCGGGCTGGATCGAGTTTCAGCCTCGTGGTAAAATCCGGCCGGGGTCGATTTGGGCTCTCAGGGATTTCAGCCCGATGGAGTAACTGTCCACTACACTGCACGCACCTGTAGAGCGATGTGGTGCGATCAGCCTTATCAAGTCCTTAATTGTCCGAACACACTCACCCTCATCATCACCCATATCCGCATTCAGAAGAGAATGCTCGATAATCATACACTGGAGATTTGGATATGCCAAGCAAGCTGAAGGACTGAAATCGGCTTCAATCACATGCTCACACATGGAGGCCAAAACTGCCCGAGAACAAAGTGGAAAAGCTCCCTTACACAATTGTCAAAGCTCACATGGTGCATAAACAATGAATTTCCGCGCCCCCCTCCGAGTCCCACCAGGCGACACATGCTGCACCATCGCCTCATCGCCTCGCCCGGCTGCGCTTTGCATAGTGGCGTATGTCGATAAATGACAAGAACCAAGGCGATCCAAACAAACACTTGTATACTCCCCATGTGACAGCCCTCAGAAAGAGATGCTCTCCGTATGCTCCTTTTGACTGCCCCCCACCCCCTCACCTCGAGCAAAAGCCTCCACGCACGCCCTCGCAAAAGCCTTCGCCCCCGCTCTTGTATGAAGCATCTGAACACTTTCAGAACCTCTGACTTCTTCCCCTCCTCTATTTTTCCTCCCCTTCTGCTGCTGCTGCTCCTGCTCCTGCTACTACTGCTGGTGCTGTGCTGCTCGCCATCCCCTACAGAGCGAGCCTGAAATCCTTTAAAAGTACTGACAGAATCTATCCATTATATAATCTTTGTAGACTTTAGGGGGAGAAGAGCTCTTGTGTGCTAATCATCATGGAGTGATTATGAACAGAGAAAGAGAGAGCATCCACCTCAAAACTTTTGGAAAGACCGACAAAATCCACAAAACATCACTACAAAACTGTGCAAATGGATGGGAAGGGGGTCGGGTGCGGGATCGTATGGCATGGCATGAGATTCTGCAAATCGATCTATCCATCTCGGCCTGAAAAGGCGTTCTAGACGGCTTCCGGTTTCCCAAGAGAGATGCCATTTGGACCCCCATTTATCAACTGTGGAAATGGATGTGGGGGCTGGATGGATGGATGGATGGAGGGTGCTGCTGCTGCTGCTGCTGGTGTTTCCTAGCGATCATGAGTCATACGAGAAAGATTTGGCCCATCAATCATTCTATTGCTATCTAAAAAGTCATGTAGACGCCTCGGAATTTTCGTTCATAAAGACCGACACAAATTCTATGCATAAATCATTGCCAGATAGATGAATAGAGCAACGAGACGAATACTGTAGAAGCAGCGGCAGCAGCAGCAGCAGCAGTTGGGGGGTTGCTCGAAATCAAAACTGGTGGATAGATGTCTTTTCGAAGCCAAAGAGGGAGGGAGGGAGGGGAGGCCATAACCAGATTTCGCTGAAGGGGCTGGCATTTCATTTGGCCGGGGGGCTGGCTTCTTTTGCCCCCTTTTTGCGCCCCCCATGCTCTCCTCATAATTTCTCCAGGGGGCGGGCGAGGGGGCAGGAAAGGGGCAAGGAGAGAAAAAGGGAGATATCAGATATAATGCAAAGGAAGGGGGGAAGGGGGGAGAAAAGAGGACTTTCCAGAAATATCCGGGGACAATCAGTGACTTACTATATATGCGGAGCCCCAAGCGGAGAGGGGATTGGGGGGGGGGGGGGGGGGGGAGTCAACCGGGGCGTGAATATAAAAGAGAAAAGATCAAATGTCTCCGAAAAGAGGGACACTGGTGCATGTTACCCGTCTTGAATAACAGGTTAGCGGATAAATAAATGAGGAAGCCGTTCATCGCCCGCGTCTAGAGCCCACGTCCTACTGCGTTTGGTTCCCCTCTCGTCCATCACCGGGGGGGTTCTTCAAATTGTCTGCACATGAAACGGATTGATTGGCACGTGAATTGCGCAGTTAGTTCAGCGCCTTCGCCCGCGCCTTGGAATCTTTCGCTCCAACTTTGTTCAACTGCGCGCACTCCCTTCATTACCCGGTTGACAAACCCCTCCACCTTTGCTATGTATAGCGGCCGAATATTCCGGCCCTCTATTCGCTTCGTTCAACTGTACGCTGTATGTATGTACTCCTGACCGACCCCTCTCTACCCTCTAATTTTGGCTCATTTATCGCCCGCTTCGTTCAACGGTTTCTCCCGTTTCTAATTTTGGATCATAAAGGCCTCCCCCCTCCCCCTCCCTCTCCCCGCATTCTGCCCCTGCCCCTTCCCCCTCGCTTTCGATAAGCCCATCCCTGCGGCCTTATTTTCATTTGCGCCTCGCTTAACCCCCTGTCCCCATGTGCTTTGTCACATACGTTCATACGCTTTTGTCTACTGGTATGTACTTTGTGGACTTTATGTAGCCCTCCTTCTCTGGCGTATTTCCAGACACCTGTATTCATACTGGCTCTGCCCTGTCCCCTCTTTATACGTCGCCGCTTCATTGGCCGAGCCCTCCTGATTCTCTCCTCTCCTCTCCTGCTTCCTTGAAGGACCGTGTGCCATGGCTACTTTGGAAGCTGCTTAGTGCAACGAGAGAATGGAATACTTTGTCTAAACGCTGGGTTTTGGTGCAGGG